TTTTTTTTTTTTTTTTTTTCATTTTTGTCAATTACCATTTTTTTCTTCATTTCTTAGAATCCCCTGAAGCTCCTGTACCTTGGAATTTGACTGGCGCGTCACGTGACTGCTTACCCCTCCAATCATGTTAGCTGTTTCCAGTACTCTTCAACTGCTACTCGCCATTGTGCCGGTGTTGTTTGGCGTGTGTGGAAATCTTGCCATTCCCTTTGTTTCTTATTGTACAACCCTCAGATGCCCTCACATAACAGCTCTGGCTGTACTTGACTTCACAGTAACGCTGCTTGGTCCAGGGCTCATGTTGCTAACTATTGTCATAGGTCCAACCTGGTTGGAACATAACAAGACACTCTGTCAGAGCTTGAGCTTTTTAAGTTCCTGGGCACTAATCACTTGCTTTCTAGTTCTTTTCTTTTTTGCTGTGTGTTGCCAAAAAGCACAACACGGTGTTTCATTTCCTGAAAAACGCCGTAGCAAAAGAAGAGGATGTGGTGTCAATGCTATGCGTTTGTTAACAGGGTTGCTGGTGGTCGTTGATATTCTTCTGGGATGGAGCGTTTTTAACGACCTGCATTTGTTACCGTCCTGCAACTTACTTATCCATGTTCAAATCGTGTCAAAAAGTTCTGTCTTCTATCTCGCGTCTTCATTCATTTTTATTTCCATCACCATCTTCCTTGCTACCAGAGCAATGCGGAAGCAATGTCGACTGTATTCAGTGCAGATGTTCTGGGAAAGACATAAATATGAAATGAAGATAAACGATCCCGAAATGACCACACTGGCGTCTGTCAGCAGCTCAAACCAGTCACACGCGACCAGCAGGTCCAACCGGTCAAACGTTTCCAGAAGGTCAAGTGGTTGGCGTTCCGGTATGTTGTCCGTTACCGCCAGCCCACTCGTGTCCAGGAAAGCTTCGCAGCAATCCCTCGCAGCGGTATCACTACGGCAAGCGCTCTTAAACGTCGCGCTTTTGTCGTTCCCGGGAAGAGGGGCGGGTGAAGATGTTGGAAGAAAAACGAGTGATTTGACATACCCTGTCGCCGCCATGCAAAAGAACGCCGAAAGGAAACCCAGAAGTGCCTCTAGTCCTCAGGAGCCTTTTGTTATCTCTTCTGGGATTCCGTTCGACTTCCCCATCCTCCCAGTTGGAAGGAGAGTGTTCAGGAACCCTAGAATCCTGCCTCATTTCAAAGACCTCCAACGTCAGCGCTCTCTGTCACGTTTTTTGTTGCTGAAATCTTGCGTGACTGGACTGTGCTGGCTTCCTCTCTACGCTGCAGTTGCGTTACAGCTGTCCTCAGTGGAAAACCCGCAAGAATTACGCTTCTTCATTCACTGGCTAATTTTCCTTCCATCCTCTATCTCTCCACTTTTCTCTTTGTGTGACGCAAATTTCGGCCGGCGGTTTCTGCGGCGAGCAACGTACTATGTTTTGAAGACATGCGCATGCGGCCTACACAAGGTCCAGTTCCAAACGGCCAAGTCAGATGACGAGATTGAGGGAGCTCGACAGGTTCGACTGATGGATGTGCGACCTCTACAGACAAACACATTGTGAGAAACATTTTGAGAACGGACATTTAATGATAAACTTTACATTACGGATTGACAAGAGTCCATCACCCGGAGCCTCCAGGCGTACTATAACACAGAGTCAACCGTTTTCCGTACCATTCTATTTTTAAAACTGTAATTAGCGCAACGGTCTCTTGGTTTCCCACGAAATATCTTACTTGTTTTGCAGATGGAAAATGTAAAATGGAGGACAAAATTGGGATCTCAGTCTTCGTAGTAACAAAGAATGGTCTTAGCTCGGGTATCATTTGGTATTGAAAAGGGGTCAAGTGAAGACCCCTACAAGAATTCTAAAAATAGAAAGATATGGAAAAGGGTTGACTCACAGGATCAGTATAGGAGATGGAGGCTCCGGGTAATGGGCTCCTGCGATTGACCATCATATTTTTGGGTGGGGTGGGTGAGCTATTACCAAATTGCCCTTCTGCGCTGGAAACTGACCGAGAAAAAAAGCATCGTGTATACCATGTCGCGAAAAAGGAAATATATGCACAAACTAAAGTTTTTAGACATTTCTGCGTAGAAAAAATCGTTTAACTCTTGTTCTTGTCGAATGTCGTGTATAGCAAGCCACGAAGAAGGAAATTATATGCGCAAACTTAAGTTATGAGACCTTTAATATCTGCCCAGAAAAATCCTTTAAGTCTTGCTCTTTTTGAATTGTAAATAATTCACCGGACAATTTTTATGAAGCTGAAGATTTGCATCATTTGATTTTCAAGACAAAACGCACGCTGGATAATGGCGTAATGTACAAAAGCCCAATTTTAAAACCACTGTTTAGCTTTTACAACAATCGACGTATAAATTCAGGGAAGCTTAAAAAAAAAGTTTCTGAACTGACATAAACTAAAGCTAAAAAGAAAAAATATGTTTTTTGAATAATGATAATAATAATCGTGATGTTGACAACAGTAAGTAAATCGGAAGCCCTAGATGGGGTTTTACTGTCTGATAGCTGAGTGTGGATTGTCTATTATTATATCTGTCAATTAGTATGCGCGCTGTGATTGGTCAATTTAGCGGGCCGTATTCTCCTGTACGGCCGCTTAAAATTTTAAGCTGTTTATGTTACCAAAATGTTTTGTGATTTATCGCCAAGTGTTATTAACCTTTTTGAGCAAATAAAAGTTTAAAACTTTCTTTTACTTCTAAAATTGTGTATTAAAACCTACTAACGACTTAAGAGTCATTTGATAACGATTTCAAATTGAGTCGTTTTGCTTTCGAGGTGCGTCAGAAATTTGAAGCCTTTCCGCGTGAATAGAAATCGTTCCCGAACCCGTCAGGCACACAGTAGAGACATAATAAATCTTATTAACCTCGTCTTCTCGGTTCGTACTGTAAGTTACGGATCCCTGTGTTCTCCTTCGATTTATGGCCCGCGCGCTTCGCGCTTGGGCCATAAATCGATGGGGAAAAACTCGGTCCGTAACTTGCAGTGCGGCCCTCGAATTCTGTTAGTAAAAGGTACATCCTCAATTAACTTTACTGTGGTAGCTTTTGCTCCTTTGGCCACTACACACATTTTGCATTCTTATATTTTTCTGATTTTGTATTTTTGTTAAGTAAGTGAAATTTATGTAACTAAAAAAGTGTAAATAAATTGAATTGACTACTATTCCTAAGATACTCATCATTTTTCGGCAGTCTTTTCGCAAGTTAAGTCATGGTTAAATTTCGTTTACAAATTATATTTGTTTCATTATCATTCATTTGTCTTAATCCCGTTGGTATGTTCTGGTTATTCTCTAATTAAAGCGAGCAGGGAGTTCTATTTAATTCCCTTGGTCAGTAAACCCAACCATATTTAGACCATGTATTTAGTAGAAGCAGTTGCAGTAGTAGGTTCGATCACCAGCCCCTGTTCGGGAAAGGAGCCCGCGCTCCTCCTCCGAAGAACGGGGAGGAACGTAGACCGTACACGAGAGAGCGGTGGAAATCGAGCCTATTACAGTAGTAGAAATAGCTGTAGTAGTTGCAAACGGCTTCGAAGAATAAAAGCTATCGAAGTTCCCACCATGAGCGTGTCTTGCTGTAATCTAACATAACTTTCCAACTCGTTTTTAACTGACAGCTGAGATCTGAGCTCTCCAAATTCTCTAACCGCTGAGATTACAACACCCTCATAGAAACCCTCAATATGACTGTAGACGGGTTAACGGTCCAGTTTTATTTTTAAGGTATTATACAAGTGCACCTAAGCCATGCCTTCGAAAAATCCCCCAAACCGACTAATTTTCCTCCACTTTCATCAACTCATAATTCGCGCTTTCGCGTCACGCTCTTTGAAGGGAAACTGGGGCGAATTAGGAATGGTCAGCGGAATTACACAACAACTAACTTCTAAAATGGCGGACACGAGGGTAGAAGATAGATCATTGTCCGGTCTGAGATCTTTGGCAGAGACGCTTGATTACACGGAAAAATCCTGGATTGAAACTAAGGAAACTTTAGATAAACTTAAGACCTGGGCTTTGGTTCAAGAGAACAGGTATTTTTACTTATCTGATTTTACAAAGCTTTTTAGACACTTTTCTTTGAGCCACATGGATAAATATTATTTCAAGCAAACAGGGTCGTCTGTTGAAGTCTTTGAACTTCTTTGCCATAATTTTGATCGTGGCAACATGGTATGTGGCAATTCTTTCATCTCCTACCCCCCCTCCCACCAACTCCCCACCAGTAACAGTCAATTTTCTGCCCTGCCATCACACCCCCCCCCACCCCGGGGGGGGGGATAGGGGGTTACTTGTCGGAAATTTTGAAAAGAATCCCTAAGGGGTACCAATTCTGGAACAACACATTATCTCCTGTGAAATTTTTTTAGTTCAATACTCTAAAAGGTACCACGAAAGCTCCTGCCGTGGACCCTTTGGGGCTGAGCACCCTAAGAGGTACCAAATCTATGCTTTCTACCCCAAAGAGGTACAACAAGCACCCCCGTCCTTTTTACATGGGAGGCTCCCTCCCCCTAGATGCTCATCATCGAGACAAATGCCAGGGGGATGATTTAATTGTTGAAAGATTTTATTTTGATCTATACCTACAGATAGCTAATGAAGACTATTTCAATTTCAATCTTATAGATGCTTTGTAACAGAGGCAAATATTGTACAGGTGAAAGATGTCATTGTGGCCTGCAAAAACACTTTGCGTGCACAAACACGTGAATGGAAAGAACAACAACTCATCCTTTGTTTGAAAGCTTTAACAGAGGCCTTTAGATTCTTGAGAAACTGCTGTGCAGAAACACCAAAAAATCAGAACAGTATAATGTAAGTACAGGTTATGACAATTTGAATCTTGGGTAAAATCTAGCCACAAAACTAATGTGTGTTGAAAATGCAGACCTCCAAAATACCAGGGTGCATTCTGCAAGACTTCCACCCAAAGATACACCAATGCTTTTTAAATTCCATGCCACACACTTGGCAAGCGGCCAAAGTCCCATGCCAAAAATGCTGTTGTTAAAACTTCAACCCAACATGGGTGGGAAAATTTGGACTCAAATGGATAGGATAAGATACACGTTATCGGTCAGGATATGGGCGATAAAGAGAAGTTAAGAAGCCACAGCTATCATGTCAATTTGTCTTGCATAATTAGGTGTTTCTATGCTGCACCAATAAATATAAATGTGCATGCCACTATAAGCCAAAACTCCAATTGCATGACAGTATGCCATGAAAATTAAAAGGCTACTCTGATGATCTTTGGCGTAACCTCTCAATGCACCCTTGCCAAAATACAAACCAAAAGACCACTAGTGAATATAACATTGGCGTCAACTATTGTTATTTATGTGCCAATCTGAGAACTATTGGTTGCTGAAAAAAGGTCTTTTGTTTCATTCACTTTGGCCTGATACCGACTTAACTACTTCAATGTGAACATTTTAGTAAAAGGATGTTTGACCGTTATTGCTTAGCTTTTACCTTTTATTTTATTTTTTATTTTTTGTTGTTGTGTAGTCCCAGAAGATATCCATAACTCCCTCATGGAAGTGATTTTTTTAAGATGCCCACCTCGCTGGAAATTCCAATTAAGCTTCATACATTTCTTTAAATTTTCTGGTCTTACAGAACCTCCCACCTCCAGGAAATTCCAATCCCTACTGTGGGGGAGTATGGATATTTTCTGGAACTGGACACATTCTGCAATTGCACAATCTTAGTACATCCTCAAGTGTTCTATCACAAATGCTCACTTATCGGCAATGCTAATAACTGTCTATTTCGNTTTGGGGGGGGGGGGGGGGGGGGGGGGGGGGGGTGTATGGATATTTTCTGGAACTGCACATTGCTGCTAGCTTCAATTTCCAATAAAAATTTGTGCAGAAATGGCCATCATCTTACTTCTGATCAAGTGTGGTTACATACTACAGTACAAACATTTCTTGGGCCAGAGGAAGAATGAACTAAATTTCACTAGATTTATCAGTAATATTTTTTTTCTTTTCAGTAAGAAATCATTGGGTCTCTTTGTTTTGAAGGTTTTGGGATCTTAGGGTCAGAGGGTCTTAGATCTCTGGGTGATGGTTTTCACCGCACTCAAACTCAAATCTGGCCTGGAAAACAAAATTCCTAGAACCAATGGGAAATGTCTGCAGGAAAGGTTCTTTTCTTGGCACATGAAATTATTTGTTATGAAAGTGTTGTTTAATGCCTACAGATCATCAGGTGTGTTGGAACACGTGATGGATATTACTGTCATTTTGTTGAAACCAGACTTCCAAGAAAGTGAACAAGGTGATCACGATGATAATATCAAACGTAATAACTATTTTGTGTTTAGTCAATGCTCTGTAATTGCTTTTTACAAGACTGCATGTGTAAGGGGGAAGGTCACTCTCACATTAGCCGTATGTGACTGGTATTGAGCATGTGCTAGTCAGTTTGACCCTCTGTTCCACTAATGGGATTCAGCATTAAATTTAAAAGAGACTAATGGGTTTCATTAACGTTTTCAGCAGTATGGCAACTGGTTTTCACAGGTCACTGGGCAAAAATATTAGAACTGAACTTCTTTGTAAGAAAAACTTTCTGCTAGATGGTCAAACCAGCTGGACAAAATTATTGTCCTTGCAGCTAATCATTTTGACCAGTCCAGGCCCTTAATGAAACCCCTGGAGACTGGTCTAAGATGGGGTAGGAAATGTTTGCAAGACAGTCTAAGTGAGAGATGATGAAGGGGCTCGTAAGCCCTGCCTCCCCATCCCTGGACAATCACAGCTCTATACTGTACCAACAATGGATACATGTACCAATCAGTATCCAATGTGGCAAACACACAAAGGGAGAGAAAGAGGGGAAAATAAATGTAACAGAGATGCATAAGAAAAGAGTACAAATTGACCATGTCATTTTGAGCTTTCAGGAGCTATTTCTATGCCTCGCTCAGACCACCCCCCCCCCCCTCCACTCTCCCCACTACCCATCCCTCTTTGCACCTGGTGTACAGGTTACAGGCCCATAGCATTTTTGTTGTTGTTGTTGTTGTTTTATTTTGACAGGGGAAAGTTAAACACTGCTAGCAAATAAACCAACAAGCAAATAACATTGCCTCAATCATATATTTTCTGGCTTTGGTCCTGGGGTGACATCTCAGACCTCAAACTCTGACAAGAAGGCACTTATTTCAGCACCATGTGTTGTATAAATACACTTGTACAATGTAACATTTAGTATTATCATTACTGTTTTTCTCTAGGATCAGATGTTATTGATGCTATAAGAAGTAGTCTGCAGCTTCTTGGAAATACAATTGTCCAAAATGACACCACCCAGCAATTTGTGTGGAAAAAGTGCTTTCCACGATTCTTCTTGTGAGTTCTTACAGCTTTGTTACACAATACTGTAAATCAAAAATGCATTGCTACTATCAAAGAGGTTCTATCATGAGTTACATGTACAATGTAGGACTACATGTGCACAGAGTTTTGATAGATCTCAAACTGAAAAGGTTGGGCAGATGTTTCCAAATTCTAAAAACTAATATTACGAGTGTTAATTTGTCTTTTTCAAGGATTCACTTAAATCGTCAACTTTCACTAGTGTTGACTGCGTATTCAATTACTGTATTTCCAGGAATGTATTTTCGTCAACAAATCACAGAGTTCAGGACTGCTTGTGTATGATTATATACAACTGTTTAAATGAACACAGGAGGTAATTACATTTAACAATACATCTTCTCCCCTCTCCCATCCTCCCTTGTCTTGTTCTGTCTTGTCCTCCCCTCTTCTCTTCCATCTTCTCCTCATCTCCTCTCCCCTCCTCTCCCCTCCCCTCCTACTCTTCTCTCCTCTTCTCTCTCCTCCCCCTCATCTCCCCTCCCCTCCCCTCCTACTCCTCTTCCCTCTTCTCCTCTCCCCTCTGCACATCTATTCTCTTTTGACCTCGCCTCTATTCCTTTCCCCTCCTCTCTTCTTTTCAGCCTTTTTTTCAGTAACTTTGGTAAGATATTAAAGAGTTCTTCTACCGTACATGTACTTTCAATTCCAGATTACAGCTTGTTAGTGATCACGATGGTCTCAAGATTATTTCGCACATTGTACACCTGTGTTCTAACAAATCTCAGCTTGAATGGGGGTTAGTACTATTAATATATTTTCACAACTCGGTGTCCATTATCTCTCATTTTCCTCTCCTTCCCCCCCACCCTCTCCCACCTTCCTGGAACAAGAGATGAAACAAGTAGAAACTTGCATTGACAATGCAGTATAGCTATTAAAAAAAGGAATACGGTACTGGACTGACGTGGAATTCTCAATAGAGACTCTTGTTTTCAGATGGGTACTCTCAGTACAAGCTTTTGGTTATAATAACCAGCTGAATGCCTCCTTTGAAAGGTGTTTTGACTTTATGGTTAGTGTACCAACTTGGGTTTCAAAGGGTAGCTAGGCCAGTGACAGTTAATTATGGTCCGGGTAAAGTTGTCATGATGTGTTCTTGGTCGAGTCTTTATTCTTGTAGTGCCTCTACCCACCTTGAATTGCACAGTCATATGGGTGGCGTTGAACTTTTGACATGTAAATGTTTTGCTGACTTGTACCCTGTGATGAAGTTGTATTCCATCTAGTCAAAGAAGTGATACTCCCCATCACTTCATGCCACAGAAGTTGAATGCCAGCGGCGATGAGTTATTGAATGTACTATTGTTACTGAAACGCACTCAGTTGAGTTGCATTTCACTCAGTCTCTAATATGTTAAATTTTAATTTAGTATTACTGACTGCACATTCAAATATTCCACACTAAGCTCTTTGGTTACTTTTAAAAATGATATTCCTTTTCTTAGGTATTTAATTTTGGATTATTTGATCTGCAATGGTCTTTTCCCTGAGATGTACCAAGGAATTGAATTTGATCCAGTAGCTAGGTAAGATTGTTGTCTTTTGTGATGAAAGAGAAATGCACTCTGTTCTAACTCTTTCAAGGGATGTATACAAATGTACCTGCCAACTTTTTCTGAGTCAAAGGCGTGAGATTTTTGTCCACAGGATGACTGATTTTCGTAGACAACTGGACCTTCAATAAGTATATTTGTCTCACTGTACATCTTCCAAAAAGACAGCACAATCACTGAAGCCATTTGGTATGAATCTCTATTGCTTCATGGCTCAAAATGTGTGCAAAAGGAAAATGCAAGCATTTGAATTTGTACTGTTTGTAAACTAACACTACAGATGAGTCTAAAAATGTTCGCAGATATGCACTTCTTATTTTAATTGTTAAACCCTTTATTTGTATTAACTCTATGTAATAAAACCATTTAATTATACTGTGACACACCCCACAACTCCCATCCATAATCTCTTTTACAAGTTAGCTAATCAGGGATTGGGAATTTGTTTTGCACAGCTGTCTCTTGTTGCATAAAGACTACAACTCAATTGGGTTTTCCTTAAATGTTGCCCTAAGGTTTTGCAGATTTCCATTTTCTGTATTTATCTGTCAAATTTGGTCAAAGGACATAGGAGCATTGTCAAAAAAAGATGTCTAGCTGACTGCTTCAAAATTTACTTCACGTTTATACCTTCTTGTAGCTAAAATGTTACATTCATAAATAAACTCAATTTTGGAAACCTTGGGGAAAAATTAAGCATTTATTTGCACAGCACTGACACAAGCCATCTAGAATACCAAGGTTGTTGGGTTGCTACAGTAAGGCACATAATTTGTGGGGTTTTTTTTTTTGGTACATTGCACTGATAGTAACAGTGGTTATGGCACTCTTTCCTTTTTTATTTTTGTAGGATAATTTTGTTGGACTTATTGCAGGTCAAAATAACAGGTAATTAAAGATGAATGTCAAAAGATTTGCTGCTTTGATGACCATTGGCCATGTTTGTTTTCAGAGTCTGTGTATCTAACCAGTTTTAAAAATAACGTTAGGTCTTTTTTTCTCTCAGTTGGAAGTTTTCTCACAGGAAGTTTCATTGTCAGTTAAAGTATGCTGTACATGTTTTGCAGCTGCTTTAGATGAACCGAATAATAAATCAATAGAAGGACAATCTGAGGATGATTTTTATGCAACATCATTAGGATACCTTGCCGAACAGTTTGAGAGCCATGCTGTCAATATTACACAAAGACTACAGCAATTGGATCACTCATCTGATGACTTTGTAAGCATTTTGTACTAAACAGAAGCAAACATTCAACCTCGCTCCAGGTTATCTCTTCTTCCCATCCCCTAGAGCAAGAGCGAGAGACTAAAAAAAAAAGAGAGAGAGGCATCTGTCTCTTACTCCAGGAGGAAAGAAGAAGAGAGAACCTGAGAACAAGGTTGGCAACCATTAATATTTCCCAGTACCAACATATTCCTCTGCACATATTCATTGTCAGCATTCATTGTAGACACCAATACCAGTACAGGGACCAGACATTCTTAAAACACAGATATTAATTTGCCCTTTTTGCCTGTAGTTTCAGGTGTTGATTGTTACACGGCTATTAGGCATACTGTCTGTCAGTACTGGACTGCAGTCAAACCTGGCTGGCCTGCAGGAAAGAACCTCATTACTGGTCACATGTGTAGGTTGGTTACATTTAACAATGTTGGTTTATGTGTGTGTGTAAAGCTGATTTTCACCAATATAGTGACAAACTGGTTAATGGTTGACATGCTAGAGTTCAGATTGAGCTGCCCGGGTTCAAACCCTGTCTGGGGTCATTCCTTTGTGTTTTTCAACAAGACACTTTACTCATACTGACCCTCACAGTCTCTCTCTCCACCTATGGGGATAACCCTGCAATTTATTAATATCCCATCCAGGGGGGGGAGTAGTAATACTCCTTGTCGTTTATTTCTTCAGAAACCGGGATAGGTGCCCGTGATATGGACCACTAGGCTCAATGTAGCCAGAGTAGTAGCCATTCACAGAGCAGATTTGGTTCATCTTGCCTACTTGCAGAGCTACTGTAAATACAATAGGCTGACTGTATTGACGGGATGGCTGTAGTTAAGGGGTTCTTTAGACAAGAAAGTGATTGACCGAGCTTTTGTTTGGGCAAGATTAAAGTTGCCGTAATAACAAGGTGGCCATATTAACAGGTTGGCCATAAGGAAGGGTTCCACTGTAATATAACAGAGCCTAATCATAAACGGACAGTGAAGCACCACTATCTCTCCTTAAAAACTGTGCTTGTAACCCATCCACTAATCAAAAGAGATTTGACTACTGACTGTAATATTATTATATTATATTTATGTCCCTTATATGCTATAAGATTATCAGTGTAATTATTAAATTATACAAGACTAGCAGTACTGCACACGTAGTCATAAAGCCACAATCGATACCTCATAGTGACTCCATCGTTAGGCAAATGATTACACATGCATCTTCCTAAGATTAACATCAACTAAATGCTTTCACATAGTTTACATTGCACTTCACTAAATCCAGAACTCTGGCAGTGTCATAAACTAGTTTGAAATATTTTATTTCCAAGTTCTAATGTTAGCACTATAAGGTATATTGTGAAACTTCACTCAGGTTGTTTTTCTATAATTCTGAACAGATCATGTAATAGCTAACTAGAACTGGTGCCATGGGTACTTTAAATATTCACTCAAGGTGAATTACATGTAATTTTTATGTATTTGGTGAAAAACAATATCTTTGCAGATTTATTAAAAGAAACAGCTAAGCCTGAGGCCAAGGCAACATTCACCAATGTGAGCCAACTTCCACAAGGTGTAGACTCTGAGGAACTAAGTCCTAGTCATGGTTTTCAGAGAGATCTAGTGCGAGTTATTGGGAACATGTGTTACCGGCACGCAGCCAATCAGAACAAGGCAAGCTGTCTTTCGTGTTTGTGGATTATTCTAAAGCTACAATTTAAAAAAAATAAATTCAATTTATAAAACAGGTTTTAATAATTATTGTATAACAACCATGACCAGTTGTAATCCTGTTCCCAGACCTGGGAACGAGATTACATCAAAGTGAGTCAATTCAGAGGGGGCTGGGCTTTTTCGGTATATCTAACAGTTCTGTGCGTTATTATACTGACAGGTGCGGGAACTTGAAGGAATTCCTTTATTACTGGATCACTGTAATGTTGATGATCAGAATCCCTGTATCCTTATCTTAATTCAGCTGATATCTATTATACCGACCGTGTGTGTGATATTATATCTCCTTGTAAGATGTGACTTTAAACTTCATTGTTTTAGCGCTCGTAGCCTCAACTCTAAGACTTTTTTCTTGTTGCAAGCTACAATTTTTAAATAGGTGAAAATGAAACTTTCGTTCTAAAACGAAAGCCATGAGATCATTCAGCGTCACAACAAACAAGAAGACCTACTGTGAATTTTACACCAAATCATTCATGTTATTCCAGTCTTCCTGTCCGTTGTCTTGCACAGTCTTCATTATTTGCCATTGCGTTTTTCTGCCGCTTCTAATCTTCTAGCGGCACGTCATTATGAAAACATTGGTTTTGTAGTCAAATTGTTTTTTTTTCGTAACACGTTTCGATCTTCCTGATTAATTGTAAGCTTATTATTACTCCTTGGATGTTCTTCCTTAGATGTCAAATTCTTTGAGGTTTCCTTTTTAAAATTTGGAAGTAATTTTGTGCATCAGATAAATGGCTACTGTATATACTGTAAAATACTACTGTATGTACAGGGACGCTCATTTTACGAGCGTGGGTGACCTGTGGCTCAAGGCGTTTCTAAAAATCCGAGTCGGAGCTCCGTTTTCATCAAGATCTGTTGTGATATCCTGAAAAACAATTAGCCAATCAGAAGCCTTTTTCTACTGTCCTGATTTCCCGCGATATGGCTAGATTTTAAGCTGAATGTGGTAAATACCTCACGTCATGGTCAAATACGAACCATGGTCCGACAAAACTTGACTGATATGGAGGACGCGATGAAGCTGACAACACTAACCGAAACCTTTGGAAAGAAATCAACAGCTATTTCTGATAAAAAATGAAAAGACATCATTTGTTGTGTAGACAAAGAAATTTCAAGTGCACTGGTAAAAAGAATACCTGTTTCGCTTCAAACAAACAGTTTTTTTAAACAGACCTCTCTTGGCGCTTTCAAATCTTCCTCCCCTGCGGGGAGGTCTGAGATTCCATACTGATGACGTTACTCTACAGAGATCTGTGTCCTGCCTCTGATTGGTTGTTACTTGCGCGCGAAAATTCAAAACCGAACAACGACCAGTGATGTCATAAATATCGGATAAATTACAATCCGTGGGGAGTGACAGAGAGCCTGGAACAGGCTGGGGATGAAATCAGTCATACTTCGAGCTAAAAGTACATTTCGTCAACTATAATCAACCTTTTAGCGAACATATACTTTCCATTCGTCTCCAGGAGATCCTTGTTTTACGGTATCTTCGCAGAAGTAGTCATTATTGCACATGGCTACAGCATAGATGTTCTCATTGATCACTCTCCACACAACGAGCCGGTGACACATATTTAGTGCAGTGGTGCTGTTTCTCCCCCAGCTATCAGGGTATCCAAAGGCGCCCCACTCAGCGCATTTACGAGAAAGCGTTGAGTTGTCATCTGGGAACGTTGAAAATGAATCGCACGCCTGGGGTGGGGTAGTGGTCTTGCCGGTGAAGAACTGAATCACTGCCTCCCCCAAGGAATTGGTTTTGGTTGTTACGTGGAACACTTTTCCTGGAATCTTCTTGTGACAATAAAACCTCATCTGCTCGAAGCCCATGGCCGCTCTGAGGTCCCTAAAGCCTATCATGTTAAGCACATGGTCATTTGAGTTGTAGTTTTGGAGTTGTTCTCTGTAACCCCTAACTTCGATCTGTTGCTCCTTAGACGGGAGTGAGCCATCGGTGAGTTGAACTCGTCTGACCAGCGTCCATCCCCCTGAACGAAAAAATGAAACGAGAACACTGAACTGACTGATGAGTGCTTTTCCTTATCATATGGCTACCTAGCTTGCTGAGCGAGCAAGATGAATCAAATCCTGCGCTGTGATTTGCTACGCGAGCGGACAAGATGGCGCCCGCTCGTGATTACGCGCCGTGTCCCGCGGTAAAAATTTGTTCTTTATCTCACGTAATAAATCCTTTTTTGACCAAGTATTTTTGGTTAGATGGCTGGATATTTGCCTCATTCTTTTCTGTTTTTGAGTGTTTATTGACCTCGGCTCCGTCTCGGTCCATAAACACGCAAAGAAAAAGAACTTGGCCAATGTCCAGCCAGCTTGGTCAATAACCCCTATCCATCTGAAAACTGGACAAGAAACTCGGTGTTAACCATGGGTTAACATCTATCCTACGATTTTTCGACACCGCAGTAGCCAGACAATAGTTCTTACAGAAGCAATATCAACACATAAATGTAGAATGAAAATTCATTTTAACTTATGTATCAGTCAATTTGAAACTTTCACATTCCCCCGAGTAACCCCTCCCCCGGTGAATTTGACATTTTTCGATTTTCAGTTTGTCCCCATCCCCCAGGCTAAAAATAGTACTCAAGTGCCCAACCTAGGGGTCATACTTGGCGAACAAATACCCCTGCCCCTGTCGTTGTATTCCCGCTCCCCTGGGCACACCAACAAGTCAAATACCCGGGGTATGCCCTAGGGGAGGGGGGGGGTATGTTGATGTCTATCTCGTCTAAGTGTCCTCTAGTCTTCATCGCCCTCGTGATTGTAACTGCCACCCAATGACATACACTTATTCTCGTTGCGCAACATAAGTTTGTTTGTTCTTTTCCGCATGATTTATTTTTCTTACCTTCGTCGGTGGTCATGTCACAATAGACTTTGAGTGGATTCCCGGATGCATCTGGATCAATCCAGAATTCACCATCCCCCACTGAGTCCTCGCTTTGTCGTATATCTTTGCACGAGCGACCTGGGGCCCAGTTTGTGGAACCTTTTTTTACTGAAATTAATTTTTCAAATAAAAAAAATTAAAAGATAAATCCGACGTTTCGGTGTCTTCATGACGCCATTGTCAAGGTAGTGAAAAAAAAGGAATAGCAATTATGGCTGTGAGTTGGAGTTTTGTTCTTGTCATTTCAAAACAGGCAATGAATTTCATCCACAGGAAAGCTAACTCTTTTGGATCATGATTTATGTGTCAGTTCGATTCAATGTTTGGGTTCATTTTACTGTTGCTCCAAGGTATTAAATAATTAATCATGGTGTCACAAAGAGGATGAACGATTTTATTTTGTGGATTTGAATCCTCTGGATTTCAAACGTTTGGAGTAAAATCTCTATGTACAATCGATTCTCGACTTTTACATTTTCTTTGTCTTGTAAGAAAAACTTTAAAACGTAGGATTTGTACAAGAAAACATGCAATTGTTGTTCTCTTGTTCAAAACGAAATAGTTTATTAATCCGTTTTTGCGAGAATGTAACTATTTTTCGTAGCGTCTTTTAGCTCTGTAAAGTGTTTCTTTAAACCCCTCGTCATCTCAATATCGAAAGATCAATGCTCCGTACAAATCCCCATGTTTTCTATGTAATTATAATGACAGGAATTTGGTGTGTTGTCACCCTGTCTGCATGGGAACTTCAAGGGTGTGTTATACGTTATACGTTATACCTCTCACAACATTGTCCATGTAGGTGGAATTCGCGCAGCTTGTGTAGTCTTCAGGTCGAGTCGCTCGTGTGGCCGTGTTCATCTCGCATTTTTTTGTCCCGCCAGAAAAAAAGTTAATGCTGCGACAAGAACTCTCTCTGGCGCAGTTCATATAACACTGGCTCAAACTGTTGGCCTGAATTTCCTTGTACTTGTGTTTCAAGAGGCAAAGTCCTCGCTGTTCGTGAGCTTCTTTACAATCCTCGTCATTTTCACCTCGAACACGCAAGCATGCAATAGCCGCTGAGAGAAAGCAAATTCCCAAAGTGTTTTTCATGTTGATGAGACTTGCAATAGTGAATACTGATAAAACATTGTCTTGAAGTACGTGAACAGAGTATTTCTCAACAGATGTTCGAGTTGCAAAGTTTCTCATCAAGTCTTTGTTCGCTTGTTTTGGAACGTTCTTGAAAGCAACTCATCTTTTGTTTTTAGTTTAAGGTTACTGAAACCTTCACGATCTGGTTGCGCGTAATACTACCAAATAGGAGCGTTTCTTTGATTACATATCAGAATAGAAGCTCTAAGAATTGTAAAGAATTGTGTGTGAGAAATACTTATAAAGTGAATTACCTGGTCTGAGATTAAGCGACACGAAACATTCGGTAATTGCATCGAAATCAAAATATTTTCTCTCTCTCCAAACAACCTACATTAAACTATTTCTTTCAACGAATCCATGTTTATCAGCACACTGTTTTAACTCCTAGTGTTCTATTAATTAAGATAGCGGCCTCTACAAAGCGCATTCGTTTTCTCGAACCATCCTTGTTTAATAATTGTTTTCAAGTGTTGACGAAATACTTCAGAAGTAAACAGAATTAAACACAATATGACGTTTGTCAAGTTCTTGTCTCTTGGTGCTGTTTGGTTCTAAGATGTTTTTATAAGTAAAATTTTGAACTTGGACACTTTGAGAGCGAAATGGTTGAGGTTTTTTTTCTTTCCATTCTCGATGAATTAAAATAAGTTCTCAAACTATTTTTTCTGTGGACATTTCTGGAAAAAATATTTCAACTTATCGTCTAACCCAACCCTCGTTTTCACGCCCTTTACTGACGTAATGCATCGGTGCACAAGCGGATAAATCATAGGCTTTCAACCAATCAGAAATGGAACCCATTCAGCAGCCCACGACTTGCCACGCTTTGTTTTCAACTAATTACCATTGGTTCATGCGGGTTTTGAACGAATTGTTATTAAAATTCGTTGTCATCGACCTTGACCTAAAATAATTTAGATATTTGCCAGTGGGCCATCTTCGCCATCAGGAATCTTCTGGAGAACAATAAAGAAAATCAGAACATTGTTTCATCAATGGATCCTGGAGGGCTTGCCAACTCGTCAAGATTGCGGCAGTTTGGAGTCGAGGCTGTCGAACTGGACAATGGAAGAATCAAGCTCGTCCAAATAACATGATCTACACGAAAGAATTATTATACTGCAGATGATTATAACAGTAAAATTGATTGGGTAATAAAATCCAGTGGCTTGAACATAGCAACTCAAAGTAATTGTGGGAGACTGAAGTCAAGATACCTGAACTTTTAATTTTTTCCATACTGTGGATCGAAGGGCAGTTAAGGTCCGTAAACACGGCGCGGATATGTGGCCAATATCCAGCTTTCTATACAGAACAAGCTTAGTCAATAAAGGATTTCTTTTAACAAAAAATCCCCCACCCCGCTAAAAAAAGGTCGACCAGAAAATATCAACCCTAAAAAATCCCCATGCATATCAAACCCTAAAAAACTTTCACATCTCTTCGTATTTTCAAAGGCCCAATCACTAAGTTTTAGAAGCTCTTAAGAGTGCCTGCCTGTAAAAATCAGACAAATTCTTAATTTCGCGGCAAGGGTCGAAAATTCGATTTCGCTCATATTCTTATGGTAGATAGGC